ATCACCTCTTCTGGACATTTCATAGAAATAGAGGGGAAGTGCAGTTTTGAAAGAAAATTGGTTTGTTATGGCTCAATTAAGAGTAGAACTTCGAATCCAGTTCTTGGTAACTTTGTCTCCAGCCTCCTTGAAATGTGTAAGACATTCTTCTCCTTTTAGTAAGTCTGTTTCCTACTGGGGACCTCTGCCCTCTTCCTCAACGAGAACGTCTCTCATTCCTGAAGACTGGGTTGGAGGAGAAGGGCTCAGGCTCCATCCCTTGTGGACGTCCCCGAAAACAGGGTCTGCTGTCTGTGGTTCTGTATACTTCTGCGTGACAAGGTGGGGCTCTCTCTGCTCATTCTCATTTGTAGAAGTGATCGCTAGAAACCCGCAGGCTGTGCAGTTACGAATCCTCCTTTGGAACAGACTAGATTCACTGAGAATTGCTGATGAGGTCTGCAAGTTTGCTGGGAAATCCAGGTCAAGCTGTGTCCCCTGGAGCTGAGATGAATGCATCCTGTTTCCACATCCTGTTTGTGGCAGGGCTGCGGGCTGGGGAGGGGAATGCCAGATCTTTCCCAGGGGGGACGTACAGTTGTGCACTGGGATGAGGAAGTCACACAAAGTTGTGTCCTTCAGAGTAGCTCACAAGTTGGTTCTGCCCTGTTCAGGTGGCTGTGTCCTTGCTGGGTGCTCATTGTCCTCCCAGGAGAAGGAGGCGGGCGCTTGTGGCTTGTGAGCACAGAGCCACGAAGGGAACCAGAGCCCACTTGGACTGCCATTGTTTGAGCTCAGCAGGGTGGGAAGTAGAGGCAGAACGGCAAGCTTAGGTTTCGGAAAATGAATGGGCTGCACCCAGAGCCAGACATTAGATTAGTATGTATATTATGTATTCTTTCCCTTTGATCAATTTACCAAGAGCCACCTGCCAAGGCTGTGGGCAGGAGGGCAAGGTCCCTGTCCCAGGGGCTGGAGCGTTCGGTGTGCTCGCCCTCTGTGATGGCCGTCTGCATCGTGTCACCTCTCCGGGCTTTAGCTACGCAGTGCTGACTTAGAGTCAGGTGATGTCCTTTCTTCTCTGACCCAGTACAGAGCACGCCCCGCACCGACCAGTTTTGTGTGCTCTGCTGTCGTTGGTGTTGGACAGACCCTGAGCCCACATTTAAGCTCTGCTAGTTGTCGGATGAGGAACAATGAGAGCTCGTGCAGTTGCAGTGTGCCGAAGGATGGGTTTGTGCGGGTGGACCTGCGTCTGCACGTGTGTATGCTCCATCGCATAGCATATCTGAGGGACTCAACATTCCAGAATGCAGGGGCTCGGGGCGGGAGCAGCTGTGCTAGAATTCTCCACCTCAGCTGTTCCCCACTGCAGACTCTGTTGCCCTTCGCTTCATCTGGTGAGTGAGCCCCAGCTGCCCGGCCCCAGCTGGAGTCCACACGCCTGGGCCGCGGCCCTCCGGGGGGGCGGGGTGTGCATAGCGCCTGGAGACAGGCTACCCTGCCAGGAGGTATTTAGGATGCAAGGGGGCTGCGCTTTCTTCTGTCTCCTGCAGGAGAGGTGAACGGGACACTGGGCCCCAGGGGTTGGGGGAGGCGATCAGTAAATAAATAGTAGTCCTGTCCTGGCAGGAACAGGGAAGACCCCTACGAACAGCGGTATCATACGAAGTGAATGAAGGAAGGAAAGGGGTGGGGTGGGGGTGTCAGAAAGGCTAAATGACTTGCCAAGATCACAATCACAAAGCCTGGGCAAGGCAGAGGTGGAATTCTAGTACAGATCCATCTTTCTGCCTGGGCCAGGGCTTTTCTCCCAGATGCCACCGTGCAGACCACAGACTGGTGCGTCAGAAAGACCCCTGATGGGCCAGGAGGCAATGAAGTGCAATTGAATAAACATTTTCCAGATTTCTGCGGTGTGGACGGATTTGTTAGGTGCTGGGAAGATGAATGGGATGGGAAGGTAGCTGTCCTCTTAGGACCTGCAGAAGTCATGACAACACGATCGTCGTGTGCCCTGAGTGCTGTGCGTGGGGACTGGAGGATGGCCAGCCAGGCGCCTGGGGCAGGCACCCGCCACAGACACACAGGTTTGGTATCAGACAGGCTTCTGTGGGAGAAGTGGACGTTAAGGTGACGTTATTACAGGGTTCTGACTGCTGGTGTTTGTTGGGGCTGGCTGCTCTGTGTCCAATGATGTGGCCTGATGTCAGATGCAGGCAAAGTGGGGAACAAGGATAAACTGCCATCTGCAAATATGGACATGTCCCCTCTCATCACCTCCATGCAAACCTCCAAATCCGACTCGCCAGGAACCTGCAGGAGGAGCTGGGGTCCTTCCTGAGACGCTCACCAGCCCCAGGCCCAGGGCTTGGAGCACCTGAGGAGCAGACTTGGCAGGAATTCAAGCATGGTGGGCCCAGCTGCTGCCCCCCGCCACCGAGTGACCCCGGGGCCCCGCGGTGGTGAGTGTCAGCTACAGCAGGGCCTCGTGCCCTGCACTGACTTTGAAGCCCCATCTCCCATGAAGCAGCTCATGTGACTCATGCTGACCCAGCACATGCAGGGGAGGGAATTCTGGGAGACATAATCCATCTAAGCTAAGTTGACAGGTTACAAATCCACCACAGGTGCCCAAAGGAGTGAGCACCACAGGGAGGGTGGTGGTTTTGTAGGCATAATTGGAGGGGAAGGGAATTCCAGACAGAAGCAAGGGTATGCAAAGGTGTGTGAGCACAGCACCTTGGGGGTGGGCAAGTGCAGCCCTAGGGCCAGCCAGCTTTGGGAGGTCTTCAGATAACTCAGGGGTTGCCTCGTGGTGGGCTTTGTATGTTAGAAGGACGACTGTCAATGTGAGCAGCTAGGTCTGGGTGCCTCCAGGAGGGCAGGGAGACCAGTGGTCCAGGGGACAGATCCTGAAGGTCTGAAACTTGCCAGAACCTTTATTAGGCTTCTAGTTTTTAAATTCTTCCATCCCACTGGCTAATTCCTTCAATCTTTTTTTTTTTTTTAAGATTTTATTTATTTACTTGAGACAGAGAGAATGAGATACAGAGAGCATGAGAGGGAGGAGGGTCAGAGGGAGAAGCAGACTCCGCGCCGAGCAGGGAGCCTGATGCGGGACTCGATCCCAGGACTCCAGGATCATGACCTGAGCCGAAGGCAGTCGCTTAACCAACTGAGCCACCCAGGCGCCCTAATTCCTTCAGTCTTTAAGGAAGATTGCATGCCAAGTACTGGGGATGGATACGGGGCACTCAAGACTAACACTGACCGCCAGCCTTGTGTCTACAGGCTTGGCTGCTGTGTGATCTTACTGTATTCTCGTATTCTGAATTTTCTTCCGAAAACTGCACTTGAAATCCTGCTTAACTAGATTTTGGAGGCCTTGGCGTAGAAGGGTACAGGGAGGAAATGGAGAAGGAAGCGTGGGGCATGTGTACCCCGTGTCTCCTGGTTGCAGCGGGTGATGGCAAGCATACCCGCCCGTTACAGTTAGTTGCAGAGCTTGTGGGAAAGACAGACCCTGAGGCCCCGTCCAGGCCTCATGCACTGACTTCAGACATGGCTGAGATGTGCAGCTCGGGAGTCTTTAATAAGTTTTCCAGGAGGTTCTAGGCAGCCAGCTTGGTGTTACAGATCACTGCCATGGCAATACCCGTTTCTTTTCCCTTGGGGTGATGCTCTCGGCTTCTGCTCCACATGTCCGTCCGCGGTGGAGGCGGTGGTGGCACCCAGCTGTGCTGAGAGGGGGCGCGTGTCGTCTCGGGGACCCCGGCGCTGCTCCTGGAGTCTGACAGGTGCCAATGCATCACTTCAGATAGAGCCCCAGGAGCAGGAGGAAGGATGTGAGGCAATCCGAGAGCCAAGTGAGAGCACGGGCGGAGTGCGAGGGCGGGGCTCGTGGGTGTGACAGAGGACACGTGTGGGAATTTAAAAATGAGGCCTGAATGGTGATGGAAGCTAACTAGACTTAGCGGGGCGGTCATTTCGCAGTGCATCCGAGTATCAGCTCATTTTCTGTTACTCTTAAAACTAACGTGTCATATGTCAGTTACATCTCAGTTAAAAAAAGAGTTCCCGTCTTCCTAACATCACATGACAATTCTCCATCCACTGTGTCTGAAGGAATCGGAGGCGGGGCTGCGGCGATGCTCACGGTGGGAGGGACCCGATCCTTTGTGCTGCCCGCCAGGACGAGTAGGGCAGGCAGACGGCGCCCGCAGCCACGTCCTGGCGGGGGGCTGGCCGCTGTGCCTCCAGCAGGGGACCCGCAGGGCGAGGAAGGGCCCTCCGAGTCCGCAGCCCCTCCGACTTTGTCCTTCAGAGGCGGCTTCACCGACTCCCCTGCTCCCCTCCGAGCAGCTGACAGAAGAAAGGCTGGCAGCCCTGGCCCCCGCGTCCCCCCACCCGGGGCCTCTGTGCCCAGACAGTACAGCGGCCGGCATGGCCAGCGCGGTCTGGGCGATGGTGAATGGGAGCCGCTGTTTGTTTCCACTGAGAAAGTTCGGACCCGCTTCCGCAGCCATTGCCATGGAAACAGACTGAGGAGATAATTGAATGGAGCCTCTTTTCCTGCCATCTCCCCTCTCCCTTTCCCCACACTGAGGCTGAGGCTCTTAGGGGCCGGCTCTTTGCAGCCTGGTGTTCCCTGCAGGTTCATGCGCCTTTGATAAGAATATAAAATCAAAGAATATCCTTACGGTGCCAGCCTCCCCTGGCATAAATGACCCCCTGTGCACCCTGCACCAGGCGGAGTGGCAGCCCGTTGCCATCGCTGTTCTTGTGCTGAGCCTGCACCAGGCATCCTGATAACCACGGCCTTCCATGGGGACCTTCCCTGTCCATCCAGCTGGCCTCGCCTCTCAGCCACGTTTCCTTGCAGAAAAGCCTTTCTTGGACCACAGAGCCATGGATGCACTTAATCTTATTATTTTCTTTTAAAGATTTATTTATTTATGAGAGAGAGTGTGCATGTGTGTGTGAGAGCACAGCGGGGAGGGGCAGAGGCAGAGGGAGAGAGAGTCCCAAGCAGACTCTGCGCTGAGAGGGGAGCCTGATTCGGGCTCGGTCCCATGACCCCGCGATCATGACCTGAGCTGAAACTGACACTTAACTGACTGCACCACCCACGTACCCCTGTATGCACTAAATCTTAAAGGGGAAATAGAAGGGAAGAATAATTTTGCCTCATTTACTGAATAAGTAGCCATCATTAGAAAATGTAAATAAAGCTACTTACAGTACTTCTCTCGTTTTATAAAAACTAGCTTTTGTGGTGAAAACAATGTGCTAAAATCGTGTTTTATTTCGCTTTTGACATAATTCAGTAATTCTTTTTTTTGTTTTCAAGATTTTTATTTATTTATTTGTCAGAGAGAGCGAGCACAAGCAGGGGGAGCAGCAGGGGGAGAGGGAGCAGCAGACTCCCCGCTGAGCAGGGAGCCCGATGGGTGGCTCCATCCCAGGACTCTAGGATCATGACCTTAGCCGAAGGCAGACACTTAACCCACTGAGTCACCCCAGTGCCCCTAATTCAGTAATTCTTAAGATATAAAGACCTAAACAAAATGTAAAATTCACATGGAGGCCATAAAAGGAAGACATTAGTTTTTACTGGTTGCACCAAAAGCAGAAAAAACAGAGGAGTCTGTTTTCCTTTCATTCAGCACCTTTTGTGTGTCTGTTGAGGAAACGTCAAAAATCAAGCTTGACCTGCATCTGCGGACGCCAGTAGCCAAGTCACGTACGTTGGCACTTTTAGTGCCAATAACAGGAGAATATGGACACACTTCAGGCTCATGGTTTCATACCCCACACCGTGAATCTGGTGGTGATTCAGACAGGAGAGGCCCTTGCCTTCAGGAATCTGGTGTTTCAGTGGGACCAACCTCGGGTTGGGGCCAGAGGAACTGAGCCCCAGCTCTGTGGCTCGAAATCGGATAAGTCACTTTGATGAATTCACCAGGCTTTCATTTCTGCATCTGTATAATGGAGCTTTTCACGGTTTCTGGGAGCCTGAAATACAATGAGATAGATAGGACTGTGCTGGGTAAACCCAGACCAATGTTTAAGTTGGTCATTTTTACTTCTTCTTCTTTTTTTTTTTTTTAAGAGAAAGCGTGCAAGTGGTTGGGGGAGGGGCAGAGGCGGGGGACTTCCAAGCAGGCTCCACGGCCAGAGCAGAGCCCGATGTGGGGCTCGGTCTCATGACCCTGAGATCAGGACCTGAGCCGAAATCAAGAGCCAGATGCTTAACCAACTGAACCACCCAGGCTCCCCTGGTCATTTTTACTTCTGAACCACTGAATCTGTTGGGAGTATATTCAGTCATTTGTAATGGAACCTGACTGCACTGATGAGGCAAATGGGGGCCTGTTTTCTTCATACAGCAAGGAATCTGGAGGTGGCTGTACAGCTGCTCAAGGAAGTATTTCTTCTCTACCGGTTTTAATATGTGGTTTTCTTCCTTATGATAAAATGATGACTGCTTGGGCCTTGTGCCCATGTTTCGGGAAGGACCGAGGGAAGGGACGAAGGGCGAAAGACACAGGAAAAGGTGAGTGAGTCTTTGTCATTATGGAAACGCTAGCTTTCTCAGAAACCCCTCACTGTGAATTCTCAGCTGTGTCTTCTCAGCCAGACGCTGACACTTGGCCTCCACTAGCTGCAAGGGAGTGTGGGGAAGTGAGTGTTTTAACAGGGTACCCTGCCACCCAAACAAAATCTGGGTTCTCCTAGTAAGAAAGAAGATAAGAGGGATATTGGAATGGGGGGCAGCTGCCCCTGCCAGCGACAGGCAGTACTCAGCCTGGCTGATCTTGCAGCACGTCGATCTAATCTACCTCATTCTGCTGTAAACTCCTGGAAGGTATGGACTGTGCTGTACATTGCCCTCATCAGGCTGCAGAGGCTTCATTATCTACACCAAACAGCAGATACCAAACCAAAGAACATGGTTGGTGGTTTTCATGGGAGACTGATCAGTTACTGAACTTACTGAACTTACATGAACATACTGAACTTACCTAAAAAATAGTATGATACACCATCTAGTGTGTCCTGGGGATATTCTGGCCATTTGCTAAATTTGCAGGAATCGGGAAGGCATTTGTAACTTCTCAAGGCTGGGATATATGTAGTTACTTTCAGGAGTGGTACCGCATCAAAGCTGCCATCCATACACAATTTTTTTTTTAAAGATGTTATTTATTTGTCAGAAAAAAAGCACAAGTGTGGTGGGGGTTAGAGGCAGAGGGAGAAGCAGGCTCCCCGCTGAGCAGGGAGCCCGATGTTGGACTCGATCCCAGGACCCTGGGATCACAACCTGAGCCGAAAGCAGATGCTTAACTGACTGAGCCACCCAGGCCTCCATGTACAGAAAATTTTTATCAACTTTCTTAGATAGGCCAGACCCATAAGGTGACAAAGAATAATATGCCCCAGATGGAAAAGAGAAGGCCCATGGGGAGGGTTTTAGAAATCTTGGACAACAACTGTATGCTCTCCCAGATTTGATTCTCCCTGCCCCAGTCCCACATGTGTGGGCACGTCCAGCTCTGCACTTCTGTTGTCCTGGCCTCAGTGAGGTTACCATCCAGACACAAACAGGTCACAGGCTCAGGCTATGGAGAGATGACATTTGGCTACTTTTTAGGCATGATACTTAAACTTCTGCTCATGTCCTGCGTCATTAACTTTTGGTACCAGTGACCATTTGGTGAATGACAGGACACAAATCTCTTTCAGTGTACCTTTGTGGTGGATTTTCAGATTCAACAGGGATGGAGCCTGTTGTTGGCCTGGGAAGCTTGTTGGCCATCCCTGAGGTGCCAGGGAACCAGCACCTTCCATGTTAAGAAACTGAAGTGCGCTGAGCAGGACTGAGAGAGACTTGACTCCACGGGCAGAGCTGGTTCAAAGGCCAGCCGTCCGCATCGCTAGCTTCTTGGTGGTGGTGCTTTGCGTGTACAGACATGTTCTAAATTCCATACAGGTCATATTTCACTGACACCTCTAGAAAACCTACGTGATAGGTAGTATTGTCTCTGTCTTGCATAGCAGGAAACTGGGATTCACTGGGACAAAGGAATTTGTTCAAAGTTACTGGTTGGTGAATGGTAGAGCTGGGCTTCGAACACTGGAGGTGGGGCTCCAGGACCCGCACTGTGAGCCATGGCGGTAGGCGGCTTCCTGTGGGAAGAAGCCTTCCTAGCTCTAGGAAATGTTCACATCTGGATACCAGTCATTGGTCCATACGTCTCTACCTTGGCATCATGTTCAGTCACTGGTGTGTGTGTTTTTTTAATTCTAAGAGAAACGTGGATTGCTTTTGTCTATTGCAGTTGAGACGTGGAAGAGGGGTCACCATGTCCATCCTAGCTTTTTGAGGGTAGTTAATATTAAAAAGAGAGATAGGCTTGACTTGCAGCAGAAAAGATCGTGTGTAGATACCTTGAATTTCCATGTACCTAATACAATTAGCAAGGGATTGAAGCCTAACAAAAACTGTTGTTAGAAGTAGAGTTGCATGCCTACATTGACTCCCTCTCTGTATTTTTCTGAATCAGATCCCCTTTTGAGACATCTTGTATAGAAGGAATAGGTCCACCTACAGTGATTCTGATGGCAGTTTTCAACCAGAGATAACATAAAAAGGGGGTGGGGCAGAAAAAAGTTGAAAATGTCCAAACTCATGGCCGGAGATACCAGACTTTTAAAATGTCCTTTCAGCACTTTCTAAGGGGGACCGTTGGATCAATATGGTAAGAGGGCCTCTTCAAATTGGAAATAAACATTGGATGGTATTGTCATTTTGAGACCGTGTCCACATGTCACTGCCATTTCTTTGGGAGAGTTAATATTACATCGCGGGTGGGTCCAAACCACTTCCCATGGCATACATCCATGTTGAAAATTTTCAAGCTCCTTGACATCCACCTAAAATTATTTAGTATACCCTGTGTTACCTGCAGTGAGTTAACTTGGTGTGGTTCTTACTGCATAAGGAGGACAGTAGGGTATAAGCCACCTAGGAGTACTATGGTGCTGGGGAATGTGGATGAAGAACTGCTGACATCATGGTCAGTCGTCATTGTGAGGAAAACAGTGGATTGTGAGAAAACATGAATTGCTTGTAGAGAGTGCAATTGAGAAGAGGAATTGTTATGGCCATCCAAATTATTTGAGGGAAGCTAATGTTAAAACTAGAAGGAGGAAGTGTGGCAATTTAGAACCTGCTGGAGCCTAGAATAAGGGACGTGGAGTGGCTGTTGCTGGGTGGGATGGGGATGGTGCAATTCTGTGCAGGGGCCCAAAGCAGTCATCTGTTTGGGGCTCCTGTGAATATTACAAGAGGTCACATTTATTGGAAACTCACCAAGTACCAAGCTCATGTAATTTTCCTACCAGCCCCAGAAGGCAGGCACTGAGCTCATCATCCCTGCTTCACATAACAAGGCAAGCTGGCTTAGATTTGTGGCCGCGCTCGCGCTCAAAGGTGTGCCCGACTCCTGAGTGTGTGAGCACCTAGCTTGTGCTGGGTCCGGCCATTGCCTTGGGTGTGGTGCACCAGACACCTGCCTTGATCATTTACGAGAAGGTGAACGTGTAACAAAAGCCAGAAGGTACAGGCTGGGAATAGGCTGAAATGAAAGAAAAGGCCTCTATGGGGAGTGTTGTGACCAGGGTGACAGCATGTCACTGATGTTGTCACTGTTACCAAGTAATCTTGGAGTTCTAACAACATACCGGATTTGGGGCCATAGAATTACTTTCAATCCAAGCCAGTAAGTTTGCAAGTTAAGTTCAACTATGTGCATGAAATCCAGCAGCTATTGTCTGGGTAAAGCAAGAGAGAAACATACAACACAGAGTTGGAGGAGGCGCTCGTTCCCTACACCTGCCTGACCCCGAGAGTGAGCACCTCCAGCAGTGCGGACCCCCTGTGTCTCTCCTGACTCACCCTAGTCCTGGCCCCATAGCTGGGGAAGGGGTGACCCTTGAATTTTTAGAGCAGTCCGTAGATAATCTACACAGAATTTTGTTTCGTATATGTTTTTATGAAATAGGGGAGATATGTTCCTATGATGAAAAGTATCTTCGATATCTGAAGGATAATAAGAAGTATTAAATTAAGGAATTACCTACTTTATACAAAATGATTTGTCACTAAGCAAAATATTCAAGGAAGGCATAGCAACTCATAAGGAATAATCAGCGTATAAGAAATATATCCCCACATAAGAAAAAAAAAAAAAAAACCTACTAAAAAGCTCCTCAACCCTTTTACCTTCTCTCCACTTCCCCCTTCCATGCACAGTTCAGTAGCACAGATTGGCTTAGTCCTTTTCCTACATCTTGAGGAAAACGCTGCTGGCTTTGGGGACTGCCTTGGCAGGCTGGGGATGATGCAGGAAAAGACCCAGACACGGCAAAAAGCCCTGATTCGAAATTCAGCAGGAAAGAAACTAATGAAGAAGTGTATTTCCGGAGACTCAAGATAAAGGAAACTTAAAAATCTCAAGTATAGATTTTCCAGTAACGTATAACACATGTTCCTTTCTTAGAAATTAGGTTATAGCCGTTTTTCTTTTCTTCCTTTTTTTTTTTCTTTTGCTTGGTTATAATGAAGTTTCTGGACAGGACATCAAAACAAAAACACGAAGGGTATTTTGGGAACTCCTTTATGCTGGGGCATTCATTACACTTCTCTGGTGTGCGGAGTAAGTACATCGCAGGGAGACAGAGTTGTCTTTGCCTGGGGGTACCCAAGGCTCTCGGTATATAAATAGACATAAGGAGAAAAATGAGCCTGAGCCAAAGTCCGTGGTCTCCTTTCCTTCAACAAGCGGATAGATCATGCAAGAGCAGCACAACCAGATCCTGCAGTGTTCTTGCAATGCTTAGTTCTCATAAACCCAGAGGCCATGTTCACATTTGGGGTTGAAAACCTGCTCGGTCTTCACAGGTTCTTCTGAGTATCGTTTCCATAATTCAGCTAACAACAGGTGTAGTACACATGTGACGTAATGTGAATTTCTGTTACATAAATGAGAAACAGTATGGTGAGGTGGGCCAGGCGTTGGACCCCTCCGGTGTCAGAGATGTGGCTTCTAAGCCCAGGGTGTCGCCACCTGGCCCTGTGTCCTTAGCCGTGTCATCACTCCCGAGTGTCAGTGATCATCCTGTGATGGGGGTTGCCAACAAGAGTGGTTTTTGTTTTTGTTTTTTAAGAGGTAGAATTCCATACAAATGTAAAGAATTTCATTCTGAACTTTGTGTTTCTCCTTCTCTGTGGCCCCATGGAGATCTCTACTGCGAAGCAAGACTCAAGAGAAAAGAAAATAGAGCAACCTAGAATTTACCCTGCTACCATTGGGGCAGCAATGTAGTTTATATAAAATATGATTTTAGTCAGAAAGCGTAAAAGCATACTCTTAGTTTTTCTTCTCCCCATGACGTTTCCTAAGTCCCACAGCTGCTTCACCTTCTTTTCCTGACCCTGAAGATTGGATTGCCCTTGAGCCCAGTCCTGGTCCCACTTTTCTCCACTGTGTTCAGTTGGGTCTCCTAGCTTTAAATATGCAAGTGACTTCCAAATTCTGATCTCCAGTCCTCAACGATGCCCTTGAACTCTAGAGTCGCATACCCAACTATGTCTTTAATATCTCCGCAGGGATGTTCAGGAAGCACCTCAGATTGAGTATGTGCAGAATAGACCTTGCTTTCTTCCTCTGCTCTTTCCCAACTTAGCCTTCCCTGACGTGGCGAATGCCTGTCATGCCAACTCATCACTTAGGTCTCTGTTCACCTGTCACCTCTTCAGAGACACCTTCTCTGTCCTTCCCAGCAAAAATTCTCCCCACTTCTTGACCTGTACCCCCCACCTTGCTTCTCACCCCCATCCTTTGCTCCAAGAGAACAGGGATCTTACCTGTCTTATTTACCGCTACATTCTCAATACCTCAAAGGATGCCAGACTCATAATGGGAGTTGGATAAATGTTTATTGAAGGAAAGAAAGACAGAATGAATGAGTGAAAAGAAAGGAACTAAACAGTTGAACAAAGAATTTGCTCAAGATTGAGGTAGGATGAAAGGAACTGGTTAAGTGCTGGGATGCTACCCCTTAAGTTGTTTTGTTGATCTCATTCATAAATTCTTTATTGAATGTTCTTTGAGTTCAGGAAGGGTTAAAGTAGTTTAGAGTTTGAGGAAAAATAATTACACTTGGGGTCTAATAGTAGTAGTTATTGATGAAAAGGTACTTTTAAGATTGAGTTCAGAGACTAGATGCAAAACTCAAATTATTCGATGTTTACGTAGATTGGTCCGAAGTGCAGCAGAATGCTAATTACTGCGTCCTAGTCAGTCCTAGTCATGGAAACCCGGAACCCTGTGCTGAAGTTCCCATCCCTTTTACCCTGTCGACAGTAAGAGTGATGGATAGAGAGAGGCTGACAAACCTGCTTCCAGCCCAGCCATTCCCAGGCCTGCGGTGTCTGGCTGAAAGAAGGTGCTCTGAGGAGGCCTCTTTGGAACTCACTCCTGAGCATTAATTTCTTCCACCAGGAGATCAGTAAATGACTCTTTCCCCCTGCTGCCATCCAGATTTGGAATTTGGTTACATCATTGATTTCTGCTCCTGCTGGATGAATTTTATAATCAGTCTCAAGGAGAAAGATGGCATTTCACATCACTGCTCTGCCTGCCTGCCTCCTTTTTGCAGGGACAATTCACCGCGTCCAAATTAAACTTTATACGATGTCATTTTCCCTCTTTGCAAATTGATGAGTTGGGGAGCTTCACATTTAGGAAACACTGGCTTGCTGTTCTTTGGCCAGTATCTAGATTGTGAACTTGTGAAATGTTAAAAATAAATCCCCATTTGTCACCGCAGGATGACTAGAGGAGCTGTAGTGCCATCTGCTGGCCTCCTGGGGAAGTGCAGAACAATCACTAGTAGAAACACCTCTTATGTAATGAAAAGATCCCAAGTGCAAACCTGAGAATAAATTTTAAATATGTGTGATAATTTGAAGAAAGTAGATACAAGTTAAAAAAAAACTGTAAGCAGGAAAATACATTTATATTTTGTGATAACTATGTCATGGTGAGAACTTACCTTTTTATGCAGTGTGGGTTCTGGAGTATATTTATGGTAGAAGACATTCCCATTTGGCAGGAAGAATGAAAAATGGGTTGGAAAATAGAGGTTAGCCTTTGAGTTCTTCAAGAATAGGATAGAAACAATTCTCTATGCGATTTAACTGGAGAGGAAGAGTCCAGCGTCTAGTGGAAAGACAGCCGGGCTGCCAGGGCCTGGGGAGAGAGCTCCTTGTTTGGGCTCTAACCAGCTGGTGGAACCTTGGATCACTCCTGTAACTTCTGGAGATCATTGTTCCCTATAAAATTGGGATTGGATTCAATGATGGGTAAAATTCCTTATAACTCAGTAAGGTGGTATTATTCTAATCAGCAAAACTAAAGGAAAGTAATGTTTCTTTAGGCTATTTTCCCCATGAAAATTTTTCTTTTATTTATTTATTTTTGAGAGAGAGAGCGCGCAAGTGAGCGCATGAGGGGGGTGTGGGGGAGGGCAGAAGGAACAGCAGACTCCCCACTGAGCAGGGAGCCCAATGTGGGGCTCGATCCTAGGACCCTGAGATCATGAGCTGAGCCGAAGGCAGACGCTTAACTGAGCCACCCAGGTGCCCCGAAAATACTTCTTTTAGAAAAAGTAAAAGTTCACATGCATATTTGTAGTTTATTACATAGCTAAGTAGTTGAGCAAGAGCGAGGGATATTTGATGCCTTTAGTCCTTAGCAATTAGGTCAAGAGTCTCCTTGTCCTTAGAGTGATTTTAAAAATAAATGTGGTGCTTCCTTTGCTGTAAGCAGGTAAGGCAGAAGCAGGGGGATGACCGGGCAGGAAAGTGGACTGATGCATATTACCATGACTTTGAGCTCAAAATGCAACAATAAAATTTGAAAAAAAACCAAAATTTAGGAACTCAAACTTTAGCTCAAATATTCTTTCTTTTTTCTTTCTTTCTTTCTTTCTTTTTTTTTAAAGATTTATTTATTTTCGAGTGAGAGCGTGCAGAGTGGGGAGGGGCAGGAGGAGAGGGACAAGCAGACTCCGCACTGAGCTGGGAGCCCCATGCGGGGCTCGATCTCCTGACCCTGAGATCACCACCTGAGTCGAAGCCAGGAGTCGGTCGCTTAACTGACTGTGCCACCCACGTGCCGCTCAAATACTATTTCTCTAGAAGGATTTTCTGCTTTAATCTCCAGCCAGCTAGCCAGCTCTCTGCTGTCTGCTCTTTACTGCCACTTTGCCGTGTCCGTACCTCTGTGGCCCTGAGCCCTTCACACGCATCTCCTCCTGTTCCTTGTCCTTCTCCGCCCCCAGCCTTGCCTTCCCCTTCCTCCTGCTGTTGCTTCTCCTTTGCCTGTACTTCTTCCCCTTTGTTCAGGTGTGTTGGCCTCCCTGCGTCAGGAGTCCCATCTCTTTGTAATCATCCCCGTACCTTACTCATGATAGCGTTTAGCACATTTTTGCTGCATGAATTAAGAACGCAAGTGGCTTTTTAAATAAGTCTATATTTAGTCATTTTCATTTTTGCGTGGCTAGGAGGGCAGAGAGGAGATCCTGGGCGCTAAGCCTTGGCAAAATTCGATAATAGGGTAGATTTTCCTTATATTTTCTGTGTCCACAGCTAGTGGTATTGGGAAATCATGACTTCGGGTGTAGCTCTCGTCTTCAGCAACTGAGGTGCCTCCCCTGTTTCTAGTCTGAGCAACTCCTCTCTCCCCTCATTGACAATAGAGTTCTGTTAGATTTGTGCGTGGGTCAGCAGCCGTTCTCTTCTCTCAGACTTCGGCTGTGAAGGTGCTTGCAGGCCTGGGCCTTTGTGCTCACCTGGCCCCCAGCAGTCAGCTGGCACCAATAATCCTGCCCTGAAGGGACATGGCTTATCCCAGGTGGCTCTGCAGGATAGAAAGCCCCGTCCTGCTTTCTCTGGTTACCTTAAATCCTAGAGGTCCTTCTCACCTGTAAGGTGGGCAGCAAAATCACCATTTGCATGCTCTTCTTCTCTTCCTCCGATCGCTTCAGTGTGACACGGTTCTGGTCTCCCAATCTCTGTCTCCGCATGCATTCTCCCATCAAGAAGGCATTGTTGCCAGATGCCCACTCCATCCTGGCAGGTGAATGTAGTGAAGATTCAGGTGTGAACCCCCTGAGGATCTGTGTTTCTGTCCCAATGCAGGTTCCTTCTTCGTGATTTTCCTTGTCAGCAAGTGGACACTGAACTTACCCTCTAGGCTTTGGACCCACCCAGTGAAAGACGCTGCCCCACCTCTCCTCTGACCTTTAGGAGAGAACCCGTTTGAACTTTGCTTTGGTTTCTTTCCTTCTTACTTTAAGTCAGTATCTGTCTAAGTGTATTCTAGAGAAACAATTAATTGGTGTTGGGTTGTGTTCATGTTTCAAGTTATTTGGCTAGGTCTGTATATGTCACAAACCGGCAGCCACGGTAGGGTGGGGTGTGGGCCAAATTTGGTGCCCAGACGCGTTGATTAACTTGGATGCATTTTTAGGAACATTGAATTATTTGCCATCACTTAAAAATGTGGAGCTGCTTTTTTGTTTTGGTTTGTTTTGTTTTTTAAAGCAGATTTCCTGGCTTCTCTTTGAACATAGGAGGATCTAGCAAGGCAGATCGCGTGCCTGTGCATCGTCAGCAACCATCTGCTCTCTGTTTGGCGCATCCGATGGCCTACCTTTCTCCTGCAGCTGACCACGGCACTCACCCATTGGCCGAAGTGGCTGGTGTTTGTGGGGCCGGGTCTCTAGTGGTATCACTGTCTGCTTTCTCTTTCCCACTTACAACAAGAGACTTCTCAGTGGCGGTAACAACGTGTGGTTAATAGTTCACAGAAGTGGATCATCTGGTGATCCTCTAGTGAAATCCAGTCCCTTCATTTAATAGAGGTCTTACCCTGGAGTGAGTCTTCAGTAAATGTTGACGAAGGGTTCCTGAGTCTGTTTCTAGAAAGGTAGCAGCTGGCTAGATAAGGCTAGCGGTAAATACCGTATCAGAATCTCCCCGGCTCGGCTAAGTGGTGTTGATGGCGGGGCAGCCGAGTTGGGAGGGTTTTCGGTCCTCGCGCAAAGGCGAAGCTCCCTCGTAATCAGACATGTTTTTTCTTTTCTAGGAACACTCATCCTAAGTCGAACTCGGAAGACGGCTGTGTAGGTCAGTATTCCTTTTCTTGGTTTAACAACTTAAAATTATTTTAATACTTTATAGGACACAGAAACTGAAAAAACAGAAACCATAAAGAATCTTTGCACCCAGAAAGAAACACTGTTAAGATTTTGATACATCTCTTTCCTCTCTTTACCCCTGCCTGTATTTATGTGGGTTTTCTTGTAAACATAATTGGGATCATACTCTGCATTTTATTTTATATATTTTTTTCAATTGAATATGTCCTGAGCATTTCCCCACATTGATTAAATGTTCTTTTTTTTTTTTTTTTTAAGATTTTATTTATTTTTTGACAGAGAGAGAGACAGCGAGGGAGGGAACACAAGCAGGGAGAGTGGGAGAGGGAGAAGCAGACTCCCCGCAGAGCAGGGAGCCCGATGTGGGGCTCGATCCCAGGACCCTGGGATCATGACCTGAGCCGAAGGCAGACGCTTAATGACTGAGCCACCCAGGCACCCCAATTAAATATTCTTTATAGTAAAATTTTTAAGTCTGTATAATATTCCATCATACGGGATGGGGCACAATTTAATCAACCGTCTCTTCTTTGCTGGACATTTAAGCTGTCTCTGATTTTTGCTCTCAGAGAATTGATGCTATCCTAAAAATCCTTGAGCCTATCCCTGATCATGTCCTTCGGATAAAGCCTTTGATTTGGAACTTTTGAATCAAAGACTATGGACAATTAAGGTGTTACATATTTTATATTTCCTTGATTATAAAACTCACTCTTGCTTTTGTAATCTCTTTTCTGTTTGGGTCAGAGCAAGTCTAACAAGAGTTGTTGTGATTAGGAGCACAGCGCTCAGATTAGGTTTTGATTTGGGTTTGAATTGGGACTCTTCGAACTCAGTGGTTATGACCTTGGGCAAGTCACTTGCCTCCTGAAGCGTCAGTTTTCTCGTCCACTAAATGGGAACAATAATACATCCTGTTCATTGCACGTATTAAGTGAGACAAGCCATTAGATAGCAAGGTGCCTGGATATGGTAAGTGCTCAATAAATGTCAGCTCTTACTTATTTTTCAATTTGCACCTCCATTTCGGAAACATTAAAATAGAGGGGGAGGGGGAGCATAGCCTCCAGTGAAAGGAATAGGTTATAATCCCGAATTGCCCGAGAGAAGGGCTGAGTGAGTGATAACCCTGCTTCTGCTCTCACCTTCCGTGCTAACATTTGCTGCATCGTTTAGCCAGAAAGCAGCAGGTGCCCTCACGCTGCCGGCCGAGATTCGGGGTACACGGGAAGTCTCTGCGTAGTGGGCGTGGGCTTCGTTCCAGAGCTCCAGGCTCATCAGCACTGAAATGGGGGCATCTTGTGTTGACACGTGGCGCCTTCTCGAGCCCAGGAGCCCCGTGCACGGGGGTTTCCAGGCATCTGTGCCGCATTGCCTGGCACCACCAGTCTAGACTGGAAACCAGCAGCGCGTTCCTCCGCTGGGCCCTGCTTCCTGTGGCCACAGAGCAGCCAGACACACTGAGTGGTGACAGTGACGAAGCTGGTCCTTTGCGTGTGCCCTGTCTGCCTGAGACCTGCTGCTTCGTTCCATCTCTAAGTACAGGGCCTCTCCTGTCTTTCACCTGCTCTTTCCCTTTCCTTTTGCGTTTTAAAAGGCATCATAGATCAGCGAGGATCAGAACCCTAGCAAACGCTGCAGGTGGGCAGCTGCGGCAGTGAGATGGTTTTCACCTGCAGACAAGTGAAACTGTTCCCCAAACAGTCTGGGGGGTTGGGCGGGGGGAAAGGGAGGAGGGGGCTCAGTTGGGAGCTGTCCCAGCAGGATAGCGGTCTGCTTTTCTCGCGTCGTACCCTGGGTAAGCTGCAGGTGGTTGGTCAGCAAGCAGCCTGAATGCCAGAGAGGTGGGAGCCCCCTCTCCCCACCCTGCCCACCCCGTAGCTGCCCCCTGAGTAAACTCGACACCACAGAGGAACAGCGCGGGTCAACCCAGCGGGCTCCCGGAGCCGGCTCTGTCGACGGGCGAGTACACCCAGGTCACACCAGCCCTTCTGTCGTCTTCCTTAAATCTGGAACAACAGATGGGGCGCCTGGGTGGCTCAGTTGGTTGGGCGACTGCCTTCGGCTCAGGTCATGATCCCAGGGTCCTGGGATCGAGTCCCACATCGGGCTCCCGGCTCAGCAGGAAGCCTGCTTCTCCCTCTCCCACTCCCCCTGCTTGTGTTCCTGCTCTCGCTGTCTCTGTCTCTGTCAAATAAATAAATAAAATCTTAAAAAAAAAAAAAATCTGGAACAACAGAAATAAATCGAGGGGAGATCAACAACAGGGATAACGACAAAACAAAGTTAACTTCTTAAAGTATCCCATTTGTGGTTTCGTTGGAATAATTGTGGCTGAGACCAGAGGGGGAGACTCCACCGCAAGGCAAGACAGGGCAGAATTAGACATACTAGTTAAACAACATCAAAGTGAATACACGAATGCGTGTTTTGCTTGCCTTTTTGATGTTTCTTTATTTCTCATCTTAACCCCACTGCACCATTACTTGCTGCTAGGAAATTTGCATTTCCTTTAAACAACTTTTTAGGCATTTCCAAGTCTTTCACAAATCTAAAGAGAAAAACTGTCTTTTTGTGAAATCAAAGTATTCTTATAAGCTTTGAATTATAAAGAAGAGGCTACTTTTGTTATTAATGAATTTATTGCTTGTGCCTTTTTTCCCCCTCCTTTCGTTTTTAAAGGAAAAGGAGACTGGAAGAAGAAAAATAAGTATTTCTGGCAGAACTTCCGAAAGAACCAGAAAGGAATAATGAGACAGACTTCAAAAGGTACTGTACCACAGCTGGTGGACAGTAAGTCCTTTTAGCTCCCAAATGTTGAGAAGCCTGCTCCCACTAATCTAACTGGAGGCTGCCAGTCAGAAACACTCGTTGCCTGGGCCCACAAAGATTTTGACTTTTCTGACATTCCTGTCATGACTTTTAAGACTTCATCCCAGTGGGTTGTTTTTGTTTTGTTTTGTTTTGCTTTAATCAAAGAAAACAAAATGACGAGAGTTGGCGGGTCTTCCTTTTCGTAGATCTGACGGCAAAGACCAAATCTTGCGTTTTCTCGGTCACACCAACCTCAGGAAGGTCTTTCCTTGCCAAGATCTATCCCAGAAGGGTCCAGAAAGTCATAGTGTTTGTTAGTTTTGGACCCATCCCCCTGTCCCGCCACTTGGGGCCTTCGCAATCTTCTGAGCTTTCGCTGCTTTTCTGTGGCAGGCCAGTTACGGGGTTGTTGCCCCTGGAAACTCTCTCATGGTCTGACATCATGGGAATGTGCCCAGGCTGCTTTGTGGAGGGAGCCCTGCCCTCCTCTTGGCCGTGTCTTTGTTGTTGTTTATATAGTAAGTAAATATGTCATCCCTTTGAGGCCCATTTGGGTAATTTATGTTTCCCCGTATTGAGAGGAAGCAGACACAAAGCTACTTCTCGATCCCAGCGCAGCCGAGTGAGGTTATCACGAGATGAACATTTTTAGTGGCTGACCAGCGACTCTGTTTGTTTTCGTTTACAAAATCGTAGTGTCCTACCCTGTTCAGAATGCTTCTCCAGTTACTCGTACACGTGGACAAGGACAGCACGTTCAGGAGTCACACACCTGCGACCCCAGCCACATTCACTGGGGTTAATCCAGTTTCCTGGTTTAAGGTTATGATTCTTAAACATTCCCAGTTTTTCCTTCTGGTACACACCCAAGGTCACTTGCGATTCAGAGTAAACCTCGGATCCTAACAAAGTTGTATTTAGAAAGAAAGGGAAGGAAAAAGAGAGAGAGAAAGGGACGCAGTGATAGAGGGAGGAAGCCAACAGTTTACTGGCTCATGTGGGTTTTTAAAAAAACCCAACCAGCTCCCCGTCGCTTCCCTCCACCCTCGGAGGTGACGCAGATAGTAAAATGAATCAAACCAGCAGGCTTGTCTCCTCACCCAGCACACACTATTATTCTTCCCGGACAAGTAGATGAGTGGCGAAGGAAACTTGAGTGGTATTTCCGGACTGATTGATTACAAAATGGAAATGAGATAGAGAAACACAGGGGAACATAAATTCCAGGGTCGGCCCTGATTGCAGTGGGTTCCTACAGGTCTGCAGTCAGACTTTCTTACTGGTCCTCTACACCAAGGGCAAACTTAGCAGTGGCCAAGCATCCCAGTGACATCGAAGCTGGTAGAGTATGTGTGAGAAAGATAGGGCAGGGGAAGGATGGGGACCAGAATGTGGGTTTATTCCCAGCGTGTGCACTAACCACCCACGTCCACTGACCTGTCCTTCCTTACACGCTAACCAAGGGCACCCAGGCTCACGTGGCTCACATATATTACAGGTATCGGTAATCTGCTTGCTTTGCAGGAAAGCACTTTCGAAAGATCCTGATAGGGGGATTCTCTTTGCCTCAGCAGTTCTGTTTCCGTTTTAGAGGGAAGGGGGGAGGGGCAGAGGGAGAGAGAGAATGCCAAGCAGGCTCCACGCCCAGTGCAGGGCCTGATGTGGGGCTCGATCTCACAAGGGGGCTGAGATCACGACCCGAGCCGAAATCAAGAGTCGGACGCTTACCTGACTGAGCCACCCAGGCGTCCCTGGCTGCCTTCAGTTTCGAGTGGGAAATCGAGTTCCCCTCACAGTCTGGATACATATTTATGGCAAGACTTTCAGATATATACGTATTTATGATGAGACTTTACTATATATATTATATAATATATAAATGAACTCAAAATGCTTCATCCTTGTGATTTTGTTTGCGCGTGTCCTCTGAGGAACGGCAGTTAAACGGCTTCGTAGGAAGCCAGGATCTCGCCAGGCTGCAGGTCTTGTTCTGCCGCTGACTCTGTGACCTTAAAGTTCTATGTTACGAAAAAGGGGTCCCTCCCACTCCTCTCAAAAAGATTTTCTTCTTGTTCATATTTGAAATAGAAGGACACAGAGGACCATCAGCCGACGGAGCCTTGGAATGCTTGTCTGCTCTAGGTGGGTCTTTTCAATCAGGTCTCTGCCCCACCTCTTTCTCCGGACTTGCTGTCGGCTTTCTTCCAAAACCCTTCCACTAAGCCCTCCATCACAAAGGCTCTGGTCATTTTGAAGGATTTGTTTCTGTGGTAACATGCATACGTCCTCAGAGCCTGTTTCTCAATAAGATGGGCTCGTTGTCTTCCTCAAAAGCAGCCCATTGCTCCGGCTCCTGTTGTTGCTCCATCAGCAACGTGCAATGCCGGACAATGCCCTTGAACTTTCTCCTTCTCCAGTCCTGACCAGTGACCTTGCAGGACTCAGCATGTTTTATCTTCCTTTCGTTTCATTCCTGTCTTTTGTCTTCACTCTCTAGGAGAAGACGTGGGCTATGTTGCAAGCGAGATAACCATGAGTGATGAGGAACGGATTCAGCTGATGATGATGGTCAAGGAGAAGATGATCACCATTGAGGAAGCGCTTGCGAGGGTAAGAGTGCCGATACTTGGTTTATGTTTGTGAGCACTTGACCCACTTATATGGAGAAATGGGGGGTTGCTATAGAGGGAATGTTTGTGTCCCCCCCGGCCTTAATCCATGTATTAAATTCTAACGCTCAGTGCGGTGTTATTGAGAGGTAAGGCCTTTGGAGGTGCTTAGGTTCTAAGGGGGGGGAGCCCTCGTGAGTGGAATGAGTGAGCTTACAAAAGAGGCCCCTGAGAGCTCCCACACCCCTTCCCCCATGTGAGGACTCCTGGCGAGAAGATGGGGCCAGGAAGCACGTCCTCACCCCACACTAAATCTGCCAGCTCCTTGATCTTGGACTTCCCAGCCTCCAGAACTGTGAGGAATTCCTGTTGTTTATAAGCCATCCGGTCTACGGTAATTTGTTATAGCCGCTCTAGTAGACTAAAGCAGGGGCCTCAAGAGTACAGGAATGTGTTGTTCAGAGTAGTATTTTGATGATACTTTGCTGGTCATCAAGTACTTATGTCATCAGATAAAATACTGATTCCATTCTGTTTGCTTAATACAAGCATTCCATGTTGTGAATTTTAAATTTCTGTGTTCAGTGACTACGTGCATGAATGAATGGCAAATATTTTTGAGCTGTGGACCACTTTGATGAGGAAAGTGATCCTCTGAATGCCATTGCAAAATACACAAGCCTTGTAAAAAGATTGACAAGAATATAACAATGATAAAAAAATTATTAAATAAAAAACAAAGTAAAAATACAGTACAGCCATTGTAAACATCAGTTGTATAAGATGCTGTCACAGACTAAACTTTGAATAATTTAAAAGTTAAGCTTTAGGCATACCTTAAAATTTTGCTTGCTTTTCTTTCCAAGTAGGTATTAATTAGAGATTAGTTTTTTAATTAGATATTTTTTGCTCTGAGCTAAATTAAGCACTAAAAGAAGCCTAATTAATCCTTAGGGTACTGGTGTAGCATTTATGATAGAGAGAGAGCAATTATTAAGAGGTTTCCTGCTTGGTTGTTGCCCAACAAACTGACTGATGGATTCTTGGGTTTCCACTTAGAATAGTTGGTTTGGTACTGTGTAGACAGTCATAAATTAGGCAGGTTTAGAAACGAATGAAAACTTTTAAGTCACTAAGGAATTATTGAATGAGTTATGACTTTACCATTAAGTAGATTCTTAAAGATCTGAAACCTTGAAACCGTGACAAGCACGTTCAATTTAGAAAAAATGAAAACTTTTAAGTCACTAAGGAATTATTGAATGAGTTATGACTTTACCATTAAGTAGAATCTTAAAGATCTGAAACCTTGAAACTGTGACAAGCACGTTCAATTTAGTTTCCTATACCTGACTCTAAACCTCAATAGTTTAAAAAACAAAAAGTTTCACGTATTGTTGAGACAGCCTTGGGGGGAATAAAGCACTTGAAGGGAGAGGGAGATGGGACGGGGGTTTAGTTGGAGGCCTGAGGGCCAAGGCCACCTCCAGACGCCCATCTGCCGGCTTCTCTTGCTTTGTCGATTTGAAGGAACGGAGGTGATCTCGGCCCACGGTGTCCCTGGTGGACCAAAGTAGTGCTGGACCAGGGATGGAGCAGGTGACAGGTGGCGACCTCCTGTCCTTGCTGCTGATCCACCTTCACCCCCAAACTGGTCTACTGGGAGGAGAGTTGCATGTGATGTACCTAATCCAGTTTTCGTGGAGCAGAAGAAAGTATGAAAAGTGGCCTTAACATAGTGTTAGGTAGTGCATTTCTATAATTAAAAAGAATGGAGCATTTTCAAAGCTGGGGAGAAAAGCTCCTTCAGAGCTGATGATTTTAATTAACAGCTAGCTATTATTTATATGGAAAGGAAATCGGAAGTTGACTGGATGAGAAGGTGGCACAGCTGTGTATGGATTTGGGTGGAGGCTTGAGCAATGCAATCTGTCTGTTCCCGGGGTGGGGGCGGGGAGGGCTGCCCTGCCTAGTTTCAGGACAGAGCCCAACAAGAGATCAAGAATATTTTCTGGTAAGACAATCCAGAAGCACAGATTGAAGAACAAAATTGATGACCTTCTCTAAACTCTCCTAGATTCTGCACACAGCGATGGGTGTCCTTTGACAGATGGTGAAGTGGCAGGGAAGTCTCTCGGCCTGCTCCTGGCAGGGAAGTCTCTCGGCCTGCTCCTGGCAGGGCAGCCTACAGCCTCAGCTACTAGTGACTGGATGGGCTACTGCTTTGGCCAGAGACAAAACACTTCACGGAAAATGTTATTTAGAGCAGAAAATAGTCTATGGAAAGGATCTGCCTCTTTTATGACAGCTCAAGGATCTAAATTTACTTGATCATTATATTAAAAAACCACAACAAAACAAAAACCTTAAGACTTGGGCCTCCTATAATGACCATGATGAGAATGTCCTTCAGGGCCTCAGGTGTATGTTTCTCCTGCTGTCCATCACATACTTAAAGCCCCACGGGTAGAACATCTAAATTTACTCCTGACAGGGCAACCCAGTATCAGGAGAGAAATTTGCCTGTGTGTTGTTTGGAGCTGGGACTATCCCCAGTACATCCTTGTATTGGGGGAAATTTTGTCTAACGTCAAACAAAGACAGTTTGGTCCATTATGCTTTATTTGTATGAATTTGATCTCATTGATGGGTATTTTCCCCCTGGGAAGCACGCAGGGTGATTCACACACCTGAAAACCCAGTTATTGATAGAAACAGAGATCAAAATGAAAAAGGCTCCAAGGAATTCATATGTGAAACACTACCATAAGCTGCAAAAAAACCTTTTGAAGAGAATGAACTTTATAAAACACCTCTGTATTTCTGTATTTTCTCTGAGTGTGTAATTGAAAAAGACAGCAGCTTAAAGAAAAGAAAAGCAGCTTAACTTACGATTTTTATATTTTATTAACTGAATAGTTTCATCAAATCTAATGCATCTCAAACATTTTCTAATAGTTTTATGATGGATACTTACTACGTGTGCTTTAAGGAAGTCAAGCTTATTAGTAAAAAAAATTGTTTAGGGGGATCTAGGTAATTGGCATATTCTATGTAACACAATTTCCAGGTGGTAATTTTAAGAGCGTGCATAGCTCTTGGCAAATAAGTTCAGGGTACTTAGATTTTGGGCTAGTTCTGCAAGGACTGGAAGCCTATGAGATACCTGGAAGCCACAGGGTATTCATTTATCTGGGTGATTTTTGTGGTGTATGAGTGAGGATAGGTGAGTAGGGAATAAATGCAGTTAATTTTAAAGCTTTGGCTAAAAGAGAACACTAGTGTTTTGGTATGATGGTGCTCAGCAGTGATGGGGATATGGTGTAGAAAAATATGTCCTTTGACATTTTAACTGGAAGCACTAGCTCTAGGAAATTGAGGGAGATCTATGACTACGATTTGATAATCATATTTCCTAAAATGTAATTATGAATACAAAAGACTACTCATGTTAACTTGATCTAGTAACTAAATATTACATATTAATCCATCTGATAAATATGTGTCTGATTCCATAAGGTCATACCTGTGTGAAAGTCCAAAATAAAGTCATGGGGGTTTGTTTTGTTTGTTTGTTTTGAAAAGTACTTGTTTGTCACTGACTTTTGACTGCCGCTAAGTAAGGAAAGGGAGCAGGAGAGCCAGAGGGAAAAGCTGGACAGAGATGCAGTTTCAGGAGAAATCTAGCCTTAGGCTGATCCCATAGGGAGTGGGGAGCTCTGGAAGGTGAATTGCACTGTAGAGTTGTCCTGCCAGAGAAAAGGAGACTTAAAGCTGATTGGGGAGGAGGAGGAGGCAGCCTTCTAGGCATCTCTGGGAAACAGTTCCTGTCAGCCATGGAAAGTTCCCTAGAGCAGGGTGTAGATGTGAGCCCAAATGCATAGTAACTGAGGACTTGGTGAACAGTTTTGTGAACGGAGTCTGGGCATCTGGTATACCAGAGTGCATGATTAGGAACTGGGAACCTGTATATATTATTATATTCCTTGCAGCAGCTACTGTGCATCAATCACAGAGATTTGGACAACTGGAGAGGCTCACGGAGAGAGTCCATAGGAGAACAACGAAATGATTGTAATTTTTTTTTAAATAGGTCCCATGGGTGAAAATTGGAAAGGATTTATCTCAGAGAAGAAACAGAAAAGAACTTAATCACTATCTTCAAGTATATGAAGGATTATTAGACAACATGTCTTCAGGATGTACTGAACAGTGTTTTGTTTTATTTTGTTTTAATCTCTACTGAGGACAAAATAAAAGGAAATGAATTTAACTTGCAGCTGGAGGGGATTTAGATTAGATATAATACAAAAGTTCTTTTCTCATAGAAATGGGAACATTTTAGAATCTCCTCAAAGGTTTTTAAAATAGAGTAAGCATTAGCCTCCTAAAGATGGCCATCCCTCTAGGAATCATATCCTGGACATCAAGTATGAGAAAGCTATGAGACTAAAGAAAATAGGATGTGAAAGGAGTATTTCCTCCTGAGACAGATACATGCGCTCACGCGCGTCTGCACACACACACACATGCACACTTTAAAACTTCTGTCATTGTTTTAAAGCTGTACATTTGCTTCAAAAGATCTAAGTTCTTAAATGAAATCATCAATTGTCTGTCTTCTATGAAATTATATTTAAGTCAAAACTTCTTTGGGAGCAAAGTAGAATATAAAATGTAGTTACATAAATAAATAACCAGGTTGCATTTTTCCCCTGTAAAATGCACTTCAAATTCTTTTTAGGGATCCCATTTTATAACTTGAAAACATAGCATTTTAAAATTAGAAAATGAAAAAACAAGGTAAATTTGGGTAGAGTGCAAATTTGAATCTCTCTTTTAGACCTCAGGGTCGATGAAGGACAGGGATGGATCGAAGAAGAAAAATATTCAATCTGTTATGATTGATTAGTTAGGAATTTGTTTTGTTTTCATTAAAGATGAAGCTCATTTAGTGGCTTCTCAAAGTTGGGCCTAAGGTAGAATATAAAAGTATGGCAGAGACTTGGAGAAGACAAATGATAACCCTGTCTTCAGCCGGCAGCTCTTCCAGTCATGCAGGGAGAATGTAACATTTCAGAAACCAGTACATTTGGAAGGAAAGAGCATTCTGATACATAACTTAAGTATACCATAAAGATTAGAGCAATATTAATGCCCCTAACGTACCAGAAAGATTAAAGTGATATTAGCAAATAGCAAAAGTTCAAACACCTGGAGTTGATGTGAACTTTGAGCTCTTTTATTGGAGACCCCAAGGCTGGTGATAACACTGTGCTCGTAATGAGTCTGTTGCATTGGTACAGGGTGCTAAGTTTTGTTGCATTATCTTATGTAATTCTGGTAATAGTTCTGTGAGATAGTTTGTTGTCACACCCATTTTCCGGGTAGAGGAACTGAGGCACAGAGGAGTTAAGTAATTTGCCCAAGGGTTCCCATTTGATGTTCGGTTCTGCAGCCAAGTTCTAACCCATTCATCAATACTGTCTGCTTCCCCGCGTCTGTCTCCTGTCACAAGCATGCGCAGAAAAGAATTTCATGGTAGAAGTGATACTTTGCAAAGTTGCTTTTCCCTAGAGGGATGTTGTCAACATGGTGGCTTTGCCACGTCCACGTAGCTCCAGTGGTTGAGGACAGTCCTGACATCTTCTCCTGGGCTGTTAGGTCAGATCATTTCTGTTTTTTGGTGTCTTGATTTATGGAACATGATTTCATCAGTGTCTGAAATTCATATAAAAAAACTGCTTTCTAATAGATTTTAATACAGTGGCAACTTAACTGTATTGTGTTGCAGAGTTAAATTTCTACGTGTTTTATGAAAACATGCCTAGAACTTCGCACATTTGCCATTCTAAAAGACCTTTCTGCTTGCTTAAATTTGCCAATTTCCTCTAATGTTTCACTTGTCTTTCTATTTGAGAAAGTAGAAACCGAGTTTCTAAACCCAAACTGTACATGGCTCTGAACATAATCTAGATAGCTTGTTATTTTCCTCTCCTCCACAAGGGTCCGCAGTAAAGCCCATCATGTTCGTTAGGTGATGACGTGGAACTGGAAACTTGAAGCAATCTAGAAAGAGAGAAGCACGTGCTCTTAGAAAATCAGTTTCAGGCTTGCGCCTCTGTTTGGCCAGAATGTCCGTAGTCCACCACATCGTGTCTTTCACAAAGAGACGTAATGCAGAGGCCAAACTACAGACAACTTCTGTTTCTGAACTTACAATTGAACTGAGAAAGAGGAGTTTTGAGGCTGAAGGATCTTGGAGGGGAAAATCAAGGTTCTTTTTAGAACACAGAATACAAAGAATCCGTTGTGTCTGTCAGTTTGATGTAGGTGAAAACTCACAGGGCAGGGCACGCATCTTCCTCTCAGTTTGGGGAACCTTGTCCTTGGCTGGCACTGAGGCCCCAGCAGTGGCATGAAGAAGGTGCCCAGAGCATTCTCTCTGACAGCCCTGGCCATTATTTCCATGTCAATCTTTGCATTTTCTCTTGCTGTAGCTCAAGGAGTATGAGGCCCAGCACCGGCAGTCAGCGGCCTTGGACCCTGCCGACTGGCCAGACGGTTCTTACCCAACATTCGATGGCTCGTCAAACTGCAATGTAAGTTTACTGTCTCTGAGCATCTTGACCGCTTCTACTACCAAGTAGATTTTAGCCAACTTCTGCCTTTGGACTTCTTTCCCCAACTACCAGCTCCCACCGGGATCTGAAAAGAAGGGTCTCTTCTGACACGTTACTCAGTTTTCTTGATGGACTTATCTGCAGTCAGAATAGTTCTATTCATTCTGTGTTATTTTTTAATTGTGGTAAATTATATGTAACTTAAAATTTAATGTTATAAGCATTTTTAAGTTCAATTACTATTCAATTCAGTGGCATTAAGCACATTCACATTGTTGTGCCATCATCACCAAAATCCACTTCCAGAACTTTCTCAGCATCCAAAACAGAAATTCCATAACCATTAAACAGTAACTCCCCCTCCCTAAGTTCGGGAAACCACCATTCTACTTTCTAGCTCTATGAAATTTGACTATTCTGGGTCCTTTATGTACATGGAATAGTACAATATTTGTCCTTCTGCGTCTGGTTTATTTCATGTAGCATAATGTTTTCAAGGTTCATCCACATTGCAGCATATGCCAGAACTTCATTCCTTTTGTAAGGCTGAATAATAGTCTACCGTAAGGATATATACCACATTTTATCCATTTATTTGTTGATTGACACTTGGGTGTTTCTACCTTTCAGCTGTTGTGAACAGTGCTGCTGTGAACATCGGTATATGAATATCTGTTTGAGTCCTTGCTTTCAATTCTTTTCAGTATGTCTATAGGAGTAGAATTTCTAGATCACATGTTAATTATATGTTTATTTTTAGAGGAGCCGCTATACAATTTTCCAGTATGGCTGCATCATTGTACATTTCTGACCTCAATGTGTGAAGGTTCCAGTTTTTCTGCTTCTCACCAACACTTGTAATTTCCCCCTTTTTTGTTACTAGCCATCCTAATGGGTGTAAAATGGTGTCTCATTGTGACTTCGATTTGCATTTCTCTAATGACTAATAAGAATATATGTATTCCTTAAAGAAATGTCTATTCAAGTTCTTTGCTCATTCTTGAATTGGGTTGTTTTATTGTTGGTTGTTGAGTTGTAGGAGTTCTTTGTATATTCTGGCTATTAATCCTTTATCAGATGCATGATTTATAAATAGTTTCTTTCATTCTAGGGTTGCCTTTTCACTTTTTGATAATGTCTTTTGATGCATAAAAGTTTTTTAAGTTTGAAGTCCAGTTTACATTTGCTTTTGTTACTTGTACTTTTGGTGTCATATCCAAGAAATCATTGCCAAATCCAATATCATGAAGATTTTCTGTTTTCTTTTAAGAGTTTTAAGTTTCAGCTCTTAAGTTTAGGTCTTTGACCCATTTTAAGTTTATGTTTATATATGATATAACGTACGGGTCCAACTTCATTATTTTGCAGATAGATACCCAGTTTTCCCAGAACCATTTGTTGAAAAGACTTCTTTCCTCATTGGTCTTGGCTTCCTTTTCAAAAATTAATTGACAATATAATATATGCTAGATTTTATTTCTGGGCTCTCTTATTTTATTCCATTGGCTTATATGCCTGTCCTTTGTAGATATTATACTCTTTTGATTAATGTAGCTTTGTAGTAAGTTTTGAAATCAAGACATGTGAGCCCTCTAACTTGGTTCTTCTTTTTCAGATTGTTTTAGCTATTCAGGTCCCTTGAGATTTCATGTGAATTTTAAGATGGGTTTTTCTTTTTCTGCAAAAGATGCCATGAGATTTTGATAGGGATTGCAGTGGGTCTGTAGTTGGGTGGTATTGTCATCTTAATAATATGAAGTTCTTCCACTCCGTGTACATAGGGTATCTTTGCATTTCTTTATGTCTTCTTTAATTTCTTTCAGCAATGTTTTGTAATTTTCAGTGTACACGTCTTACCGCCTTAGTTAAGTTTATTTCCAAGTATTTTATCACTTTTTTTGGATGCTATTGTAAATGAAATTGTTTTCTTATTTTCTTTTTACACATTGTTCATTGCTAGGGTATAGAAATGGAACTGATTGTTGATTTTGTGTCTGCAACTTCGCTGAATTTGTTTCTTATCTCTAACAGTTTTTGTGTGGTAGAATCTTTAGGGTTTTCTCCATAGGAGATCGTGTCATGTGTGAACAGAGACAGTTTTACTTCTTTTCCAGTTTGGATGACTTTTATTATTCATGCTATTTTAATGTGACCCAACAGCGCTTCCTAGGAGTTCCGCAGGGATCGTGGGAATTAGAGTTCAGAGTTTCAAGCAGATATTTTGTGATGCCATCATCCAGCTTCATGCAGTGAGAATGGAGGGAGTTACCCTTTTTCACTTATTATGTAGTTGTTTTGTTTGTTAGGTTCTTTCTTCCTTAAAATCTGGAAGCAACTCTACCTCTGTATCCTTAGCTTCTTGTCCATGCTCTGTAGAGGTAGTCATCTCTCCACAACATACCTCTTTTCTTGCAGTCTTCTGTTTCTGAAAAGCCTGATGGTTTTCCAGTTCTGTAAGATAAATTCCAAACATTTTGGCAAGAGTCTTGAGTGTTGACTTTAATCAGTATCTCCGCTCTCCTCTGCCACCCCCCGCCCCTAATAGCCTCCACTCCATCCACCCTGGACCCTGCCTGAACACACTTGTATTTTCACACACTCTGCTTTAGTTCATGCAATTTCCTCTACCTAAAATATCTTCCTCCAGGTTTTTCCAGGTAAAATTCTGTGTGTCCTTCAAGATAAAGTCCAACTGCCATCTCCTCTGAAATTTCCTTTAGCCTCCTTAAGTATGTTTTATTGCTTCCTATTCTGCGCTTTGTTAAACTAGCTTTGTACACAAAACCTGTTATCCTGGAATATCGGGATTCATCGGACACATTTTAGCCTCCTTGGGAATCATGAGCTCCTTGAGCGAGAAAGGCATGCTACATTATCTTTGTGTCTCCAGTGAGTGTCTGAGTGTCCAGTTCATATGGCATGTTCGGGAAATACTTAGTGGACAAAGTTGTATTTAGACGTTCATCTTTCCTGGCTGCTCGGAGAGCATGTTTCATGTCCTACAACCACAGCCTCTGTCTTTACACCTTCTTTGCATCTAAGCAACAGATGATGGCTTATCAGAAGTAAATACAAGCCTTCCACTACCTTCTTGTCCCTGATTTCCTGAGTCAAGCACCAGATTTCCATTTCAGCTAAAAAAATGGAAAGAAAGAAAAAACCCCAGGGGATTGTTAATTTGAAAGCCCTGCTTGGTTTGCTTTTGTGTGAGAGACTGAGACATTACCCTTTATAGTAATAAATGTATCATATGCTAGCCAGCTTTGTGTGCTGGGACTATGAGGTAATCAAAAGAACCGTGTTCATGGATTTCAATGTGCCTTTTTGGGGTCTCTTATCCCCTTGTCCTAAAGACTAGCATAATTTAAATGTAAATCATGAACCTAAAGAATCATGAAGAATAAATACAGTAACTCAGGACTGATGCGATTCAAACCCAACTTGGGGAGAACACAAAGACACCAATTGTCCATAGTGGGTCCTTTAGTATCAGAGTCACTGTATACTGTCCTGATTAATAGCATCTGAGTCAAGGGGGAGGTTATAAGACTCTCCAGTCAGAGAAACAGGACTGTAGTAAAACCTCACACACTCAGACAGCAGGGAGAGAGGCTCGTCACGTTTAGAAAAAGTTAATATAAATTGAGTACAATAGTGGTTTTGAACGAGCTGCCAAGAAGACATTACTAGATAATTGGTTTTTGGTTATTACCGCCTTCAGATGGTAAATCAGAACCATCACCTTGGTATAAATTGTCAGAGGAAAGTAGGTACTTCTGAGAAGTCGGACATTCATTCCCTTGAGCATTTCTTTGTTCATTGAGGAGACATCTAGCAAGCACTTGCTGTATACCAGGCTTAATTCTGTAGATAGGTTACAAAGCTATAGGAGCAGGAGAGACAGGCCCTGCCCTGACGGAGTTTACCCAGCAGTGCATGGGTTAAAATCACCCCCACATGTGCTCACACGGATTTGAGATGTCATGTACACACTCACATTATTAATTTCTTAGCAAACCGTTTCTTCATAGATGACGCAAAAATGAATTCAGCCTGTTCTAGTTGGATGAAGGGCCAGGAATACCATATGCACCCTCCATTTCCAGTACATTCTTCCAGAAGCTCCAGAGTGAGTTTTTGCTGAGAGATGTAGGTGAAGACAGGCCGTTCAGCAGTGGAGTTTTCTGAAGCGATATTATTTACCCCGCGTATTTTGCTAGCTGGCTTTGCACAAACAACCCACACCCATTTCTAGTCACGCTGTGCATTCCTACAGCTGACCACCATTGGCATTGAAGTTTGCTTGAACTTGTTTGCAATCTTAATGTATGTGACACTCGCCCTTCCTACCCTACTTTAGCCTGTCCTGTGTTTTTATGGAGACTCAGCAAGAAACTCCAGCCAAGATATTCCTTCTCAATAATGCTACATTCGCCTGGTAGAGTAATTAATTTCAGATAATTCCCACTGTGTCCTACTTCAGCCGCTGTGGGTTAGGCGCTTTGATTATCTTTTGTGCGAGAGCCAGGGCTTTTCAGCTTTCTATTGATTCTTTTCTAGACTGAGATGTAAATAGCCCACTGGCCGTAGTCGGGAATGTCCAGGCCATGAAAGTTTCAGGGATCACAAGCCCTTTGTCACGAGACTCAATGCCCTATATTGATGCCTGTCGTGCTTTAGGATTTCATTCGCATTGATTTTGTAGACTCCCCCACCCCCATAACTGACATTAGATAATTGCGTGTTGCTTCACAATAAATCCATATTCACATTCCTGGTTTCTAAGAATGTAAAGTACTAAAGATAGTTACCAGGGGAAGTGAAAAATAGCTTTCTCTTTGCCAGAGGAGAATGTGTTCTCTGCTGTTTCTCATTAATAACAAACTCCTGTTGCGAGTATTGGAGTTTTTAAAAAGAGTTTCTGGTTTGAGTACTTAACGTGACTCCTTGTTAAATATCTGGACATTTGTTGTAATATT